TTACAGCATTTTCTCGGAACTTTCATATTAATGACCCATTCATTTTGTGTTCATAGGTACAGAGGGGTTTAGGGCCACAGTGAAACAAATAGTTTTATGATTATAAAGGTAGATAGTGGTAAAAGTTCAAAGTCATATCTTCTGTTAAGCCTGCTACTGCATGGCAGGTGGACTGATAAACAAGGCCCTTTCCAATAGAGATAAGCTTATTAATACTTAATAGAAAGAGGCCTTTAAAAACAAACTTTCGTTTAAACAACTCAGTCTAAAATTTTGCCACTTCATTCATCATCAGAAGTCAAACTATTGGTTAATAATAAGCATAATTATATTTCCCAATGTGGACAACTTAGCAAATATGAAAAACCTTTTTGAAAAATAATACAATAATCCTATGCCGTGAAACATTACTTTATGCTAAGCAGTTTTCTATTTTCATTATTTCTATTTTAATTTGCAATTCCTCTCCCCCGCCCTCCAAAACACCACTTAGGCATCACAGCACCTTAGGGGAACACAAAATGGATAATTCTTTTTTCCACTGTAAATGTAGCGATTCAATAGGTGACCTAGAAGTAAGATGTCGTCACTAATGGGAGAATGATGGTGAAATAAAATGGAAAAAAAAATCATTGGGCATGTTGATAAAGCAATTTGTGAGATGACAGCCCAAGTTAGAAGTCAGACAAAGGTGTTTTAAGTAACAGTTGCAAAGTGCTTATATTTGTGGTAGTTTTCTAAGCACTTCACATGGTCTCTATGATACAGTCGTCTTGTACAATGACAATACTGATGTACCAGAAAGATACATGTGTGTATGGGATAAATTTCACTTTCATATTTTCCAGAAATCAGTCATTTTGAACATAACCTTTCGTACCATAATAACAATTTCCTGTATAGATTTGTTAACTGCTAGTAAATTATCCCATTTCCTGATACTGATGATAATATTTAGAAAATTGGTCTTGGTTGAAAAATATATCTTTAAGTTAACAACAACAAGTGGAACAGGTTCAAATGTGTAGGGCCTGAAGCTTATATAATATGGGGGACTTCTTTAAGAAAAACAATGCAAAATTAGGTGCAAACAATGAATATTGATTAAAAAGAGGTTCATTCAAATTGTAGGCCCTGATGTTTTAGCTTTATTAGCTTTGTGATAAATTTACCACTTCACTAAGCAACTAAAGTAAATTTTTAAAAAATTCCATAAGAATAAAATACTATCTGAAAATAATTCTTCATTTTTTCTCCCATAAGGAGCTTGTAATTGAAGGCTTTATGTGTATTCCCTCATTTGATTATTTTTCCTCCTTTTTATTTCTCCACTGTCTGGAAAATTCCTGTTCACAACAGGTCACTCGATTCTGTGAGGTGAGGAGAAGGTGACTCCAGCCATTCGCTCCAGGTTATAGAAGCCGTCACGGTCAGGTCTGGGCACTTTCCCCTCCACTTTCAGTATATACATTTGTAGAAATAATATTTTGAGTCAGATATGGACAGGCCTTTCCTCTTAGTCTCTTTATTCTTATTTTGCCAGAGAAGAAACAAAGATTGGCGAAATTTATAACAAAGACAAAGCACAAAGTCTCAAATTCCTAAGTACAGAACATTGTTCAACCTTGTATACCAGTAGCACTGTTGGAAAAATGTTTCATTTAATGTGAAACAGAACGTGACCTTTTGAACCTACCTTTTTTTCTAGAGATCATCACATTTCTCTTTTCAGAAGAGCTGTAGTTTTGAGAAAGCTACTCAGCGCAGTACCAGTGAGTTTTTTCCCCCTACCTTATTTTCGTTTTTCTATAAGGTCATCACAATATAGCTTTGGCCATATGGGAAGAGGTGAAATAGTTGACAGCTTTCAGCTCTTTGGGTTTGGATCATAGAGTCCTCATGTCTGTGCATGTATTCAAATATGTAAGAGGGATGTTTTTAGCTTCATGTTCTTCCCCCCACCCCCATGTTTAGCTCTCACTAAGGCATTTATAAGTTATAAAAGAATGTATGTGGATATTCAAACAAAGAAAAAAAAGCTTAGAGTCTGACACAGTGTTATGTGGATTCTGACTGCCAACCCTGCTTCTGTGGTAAACCTCCCTCCACCTGCCTTGTGGCTGTACTGGTAGTTAGTGATCCCTGACTGAGCGCTCCTACTTGCCAGCCACCAGGGATTATCCATATTCGCCCCACCTTACAAATGAGAAAACTGGGGTTTAGAAAGATTCAGTAATGACAGAGGTGACACAGTAAGGGTTGGAGCTGGGATTCAAGTACAGGTGTGAGAACTCTAAGCCCACACTGTGTGGTCACCATTCGCCGCCTTTCAGATCACAAATATGGGGCAGTCTGGGCGTCACCCACAGCTTCTGTGGTGGCCAGCCTCTGAAGTGGTCCCAAAAGATCCCCCTTTCGGGGTGTTCTCACCCTTGTGTGTTGCCTTCCACACTGAACACTCAGGACTGACTTGTGAAACTAACAGGCTACAGTGAAAATGCACCATACTGTCATTAAGTATTATTTGAGGGAAATATAACTTCAGGCAGAGAGAAAACAAGCCAAGAGGCATGAAGATATAAAAGTTCTCGGCATGTGTGAGGGATTATTTATGAAATTAAAAATTGAGAGGACTTCCAGTTAAGATGGCAGCACAGGTAAGCACAGCTGGCCTCCTTGCACAACCACATTAAAATTACAGCTAAACTAAAGAACAGCCATCATTCAGAGCCATCAGAAATTGAGCTGAATGGAAGTCCTACAACTACAGAATTAAAGAAGAAACCACATTGAGATAAAAGGAGGGGAGAGACACAGAATGAGCTTGTCCCGCACCCAAATAAGGTAGATAAAAATCAGGAGGGATATCTCAGGAGTGAGGGGTCCCAGTCCCACACTGGGCCCTTGGCCCAGGACTCCAGGGCCAGGAAGAGAAGTCCCTATAACCTCTGGCTGTAAGAACCAGCAGGGATTAAAGCGGTGGAAGACAGAAACTGCTGGAATTCCAGGCAGTTCCTCTTAAAGGGACTACACAAAGACATACTAGGTCTCACTCCCTCAGCTCCAGCATGGGGGCAGCAGATTGAAAGGCATTGGAGACATACAGGGGAGAAACTGAATTGTCTGGCCTCAGGGCGAGAGATGGGGTGCAGCTTTCTCCCAGATAGAAGTGGCAGCACAGGCCAATGTTCCTTATCTGAGACCTACCCCTACAAAGCCACGGAGCCAGCAGGTGGGTGCCATATCTGAGACTCCATCATCCTGGCTCACACTGTTTGGTGTGACTCCCACCTTGGTGACTCCCTGAGGCCCTGCCCCACCAAACTTTTCGGTCCACCCAAGCTGTTTCCAGTGGTTTTTCCATACAAATGGCTTGTCTTGGCTCACATATGAGATTTTCCTAAATTCTCTCAAACAAGCAGCATCTGGCATCTGTAAGCCCCGTACCTCTTCCTAAATTGCCCCAGGCCCAGCACTAGCAGCAGCCAGCCTAGGTTCAGTTTTGCCTCACCTGAGCACCTCCAAGCCCAGCACAAGTAGCAGCCATCTGCAGATTGCTTGGAAGCTTATGCTCTGTGACCCCAGACACAACACAGTAGGTGGCTGATGTTGGATGTGCCAATAGTAATCAAGGCTCAACTACAACAGGAAGGTGTACACAGCTCACACAGTGGGTGCAACTTGGGTACCCAGCTTGCATAACAGGGGAGGCTGGGCCACTGGACGCTACAGGACACTTACTATTGTATATTAGACCACTTTACAAAGCCTGGGAGACATAGCAGCTCTACCTAACATATAGAAACAAATACAGGGAGGCTGCCCAAATGAGAAGACAAAGAAACATGGCCCAAATGAAAGAACAGAACAAAACTCCAGAAACAGAACTAAACAAAATGGAGACAAGCAACCTACGACATACAGAGTTCAACACACTGGTTATAAGGATGCTTAAGAAACTTAATGAGGACCTTAACATCATAAAAAAAATCCAGTCAGAAACAGAATAAACTAATTAAAATAAAGAACAATTTATAGGGAATCAACAGGAGGGTGGATGAAGCCAAGAATCAAATCAGCAATTTGTAATATAAGGAAACAAAAAACAACCAATAAGAACAACAAGAAAATAAAAAGAACCCGAGAAAATAAGGATAGTTTAAGGAGACTCTGGGACAACTTCAAGTGTGGCAACACTCACATCATGGGAATGCCAGAGGAGAAGAGAAAGATCAAGAGATTGGAAACCTATTTGAAAAAATAATGACAAAGAATTCCTTCAACTTGATAAGGAGATAGACACACAAGTCCAGGAAGTGCAGAGAGTCCCAAACAAGATGAACCCAAAGAAGCCACATTAAAATTAAAACATCAAAGTTTAAGATAAAGTGAGGATCTGAAAAGCAGCAAGAGAAAAGCAATTAGTTACCTTTGAGGGAGCCCTGATAAGACTGTTAGCTGATTTCTCAAAAGAAATTCTGCAGACTAGAAGGGGCTGGAAAGAAGGAGTCTAAGTGATGAGAAGCAAGGACCTACAACCATGATTGCTCTACCCCGCAAAGATATCATTTAGAATGGAAGGACAAAGGGAGGGGGGAAGAGGGAGAAAAACTGGAACAACCATAATAGTATAAACCATAAAAGAATTATTAAAAAAAAAAAAGAATTGAAGGACACAGAGCTTCCTAGACAAGAAAAAGCTAAAGGAGTTCATCACCACTTATATGAAATGTTAAAGGGTCTTCTTTAAGAAGATCAAAACATGAACAATAAATGACATAAATACGTATCCATCAACAAGGGATTCTAAAAAACAGAATAAGCAAATAAGAACAGAAACAGAATCATAGATACAGAGAACATTTTGATGGTTGCCAGATGGGCAGGAGTTGGGGGGATGGGAAAAAACATGAAGGGGTTAAGAAGTACAAATGGGCAGGTACAGAATAGTCATGGGAGGGGAAGCACAGCATAGGGAATAGAGGAACCAGAGAACTTACATGCATTCACGACCCACGGACGTGAACCATGGTGTGGGGACTGCCTGAGGGAGTGCTGGGTGGCTGGGTGGAGGGCAGCCCAGGAGGAAAAACCGGGTCAACTGTAATCGCATAAACAATAAAATGCAATTAAAAACTCAGTGCTCTATTAAATTAAATTCTTATTTCTTTCATATCTAGTGTAATTCAATTTTACAGTCATTAAGTTTATCTTAAAACTTAATTCAATGTGAAATTAAGTTAAAATTAAGTTTATGCTTAAATTTATAGAAACAGAAATTTCAGCCTACATTGCTCCTTGTAGTCTTCCCCCCCCCCCCCCCGTCTCTTCTTCTAAGGGCATGGATAAAACACGCGAGACCACAGCAAGACAGTTATCTGTTGAGATCTCATAATAAAACACTGTGGAACAGTGAAAAGGCCCTGGATTATGAGTCAGAAGGTCTGAGCTGTCATCTGAATCTGCCACTGATTGTTGTCCCTGCCTCAGGCAAATTTCTCAGTCGAATGTCCTGACTGTTCTGGGAGCTTCAGCCTTCCTGGGGTAAGGTCAGCAGAACCCCAGCAGGGCTGGCCTTGCTTTTCAACTCAGGGGAGCTCTTTATTTATCCATCATCCACCAGCACTTATTCCTCCATCTAACATTTATCAATGTGCACTTTGTGCCAGGAACTGTACTGAGTGATGTGTTGGAAACAAAAGGCAGCAGCGTGAAGAAAAAGAAATCTAAGATGCGTGATTCAGTGTGTGATAAATGCTATAGTGGAGGTGAAGGTATAATGTGATCTCAGAGACAGAGAGATGGGTGTCAAGGTACGCTTTCTCAAGGCAGTGATACCTGGTGGAGGTTTCAAGGGCAGCTCAGAATTTACTCGGCCAGAACATTGTAGGCAAGAAGGTACAAAGCCTGGAACTATGTGTATGGCTGGGATGTGAGAAAAGGTCCTCTGAGCTCAGTCCAAGGGACAACGCTGTGACATAAGTGGACACACGTCTACAACTTCACCAGTCCTACTTCCCTACTTCTTTCCCCTTTGGCAGGAGCATGTTTGCAGTAAGGCTTGTTCGTAGCACATTCTCTGCCCCTATGGGCTTATTGGAGGGAGTACAATAGAAGGTTTCTTCTTTTCCAACGTTGCCCTGGCAGCTATTAGTTCACAATAGGCAAAGTTTATTTTGTTCCATGAAGTATTTGAAAAGTGCAGTTTATTTCTAGATCTAAGTAGTGCAGCATAAATATACATAGGAAGCATGCTGCAGGAAATTATAGTTTGAAGAGTTAGACTAATCACTTAATCTTTAAAGTGCATGCACACTGTCTGCCTTCCATAGCAGCCTGGGCGTGTGTCTGTCACCGGCACAGACTGGAGCCCGTGGAAGCAGGAGCTCGGTCTGCAGCCACTTCTTTACTCCACATGGGGCTCTCCCAACTGCCTTATAATAACCACAGAAAGCAGTAGAGCATTTGCTGTGCGCCAAGCACTTTATATGTTACCCCCTCTAATACTTTCCACAACTCAATGATTATCTCCATTTTGTAGTTGGGGAAAGTGACGCACAGAGAGATCCCAGAGCTGGTAAGTGATGAAGCCAGACGTGTACATCAGACGGTCTTCTCTGTACTTAGCATCCTTATATAGAGATTCTAAAAAGTATTCTATAACTGTTTGTTAAGTGAAATTACCCGCCATATTTGTTTTTTCATCTATCGATTTTAGAGAGGAAGAGGGAAGAGAGGGGTGAGAGAGAGAAACGCTGATTTGTCGTTCCACTTATCTGTGCATTCTCTTGGTTGATTCTGACCAGGGATCAGTTAACCCACAACCTTGGTGTATCAGGACAATGCTCTCACCAACGGAGCCACCTCGCCAGGGCCCCCATCATATACTGCTTCTCAAATGCACCTAGGGCAAGTGCCCTTGCCTCTTTCCAGATAAATGTAAATGAAACCCGCAAAACCACATAATGAGCCAGTATAAAATTGAGTATCCCAGGGAGGTCTCCTTAACCTTGCTCTTTCAAACAGAGTAGTATAACTACTTCTGAAACCCTTGTCCCTTCCCTCTGCAGTTATAAAAGTCACCCTGGGTGAGATGAAGAAACTGAATTAAATGACCCTTGAAGATGGATTTGATTTTTGGAAATAGCCCAAATAATTAGAAACCAAGCCCGGTGCATAAATTGGTCAATGGAGTTGAATGCTATTTTGGTCATGTCTCTGGCTGTGTGTTCACTACTCGCACTAAATTTTGTCTTAATTTTGCCCTACAGCAACAACAGGAAACTCATTTTCCCTTTCTGTTACTTGCTTTTCTCATCTAAATGGTGCAGAGAATAACCTCTGTAATCCATGTACCACAGTGAAAAGCCACCAAGGAGTATAAGGTCATGTCTGTGAAAAGTTCCCATGAGTAAGCCAGTGTGCAAATAGAAGAGACTATTATTATTATTACTGCTGGGTTATATAGAAACCCTCATTCATCACACGTGTACTTCTTGGCAGGGGTTCCCAACTTGCCCTTGGGTAGCTCCTCATAGTTACAACTCCTACAGCTTTCGGTTCAATTACACTTGCCTGGTTGTGTGTGTGTGTGTGTGTGTGTGTGAGAGAGAGAGAGAGAGAGAGAGAGAGAGAGAGCAAGAGAGAATCTAAAGTCATGCAAATGAAGTTGATTGCTATTTTTAATCTGTTACTTTAAATAGCTTTTGATCTCACCCAAAATAGATTTCCATGAGGTTTTAAAATTTCATTTAAAAAAAGGCATCAAAGATAAAAGCATAGGTTATTAAATTTTGTTTTTAAAACCAATTTCAGGTGTTCTGAAAAATGTGAACACTGATTAAAAACATTTTTGTAAAATTAGTTTTTCTACAAGTATATTTTCAAAATTGCTCAAACTGAGGGACTGATACCAGGCAGCCCTCCGCCAGCTTGTGGAATCACCGCCCCCCCCCCCCCCCCCAGCAGCCCCGCTGGGCCCACGGCCTTTGCCAGGCCCTGCAGGCACAAAGGACACAGGCCTGTTGGAGAGCACGGGCACCGGAGCAGTTGGAATCGGGGGCCAGTCCACGTTTTGTGGGCCTGAAGCTTATGAGACTTCAGGCTCTTCTCTGAAAAAAAACTATGAATAAAAATTAGGTACAAAAGTGAATATGTATTTAGAATGAAGAAAGAGATCAAAGCTGACAAATGCCATAAATTTATCTCCGAGTCCAGAAGACTAATGCAGCTCTCTCCTGACCTGACTGCCTCATGCACTCTATGATATTGTTATAATTTTTAGCTGGTACTAATTGATCTCCTTATACGGCAATAATTTTGCCATATTGCCAATAAAGTGAAAAAGAGGTAGTCTTTTCTCTAGAAAATAGCTTATTTTTTTATTGACAAGGTGGACATTTTCTTTCAGACTTAAACCTGTTCTCGCTGAGATGTGATTTATGTGTGACACACACAGGCAATGGCTGTTTGTAGTATTTCTTAGGTTTGTGCTCCATCCACACAGGAATTCTAATAAAGTATGCAATTTTAGCATAAACATCTTGGTTGTAACTATAACTATGTCAGCTGCATTTTGGGGTATATAGTCCTAACAGGACTTGACTTGGCATTAATGAGAATGGAGTGTACTTGCAGTGTACACATCTGACGATTGGAAGAATTTGAGGAGACTGGAACCCGGCCCCATACCTTTCCAGTCTTGCTTCTCTTCCATTACTCACATGCTGAAGCATGGCACCTGTGGGATGTGTGCACATCACCAACCATCTGCACTTCTGTGTCTGCAAGCCGGGTAAATTGGCTTAGTGGATGCTGAGAGTATCCCTGGAAGCCAGGGTGCCTCGCAGTAACTTATGTGCACATAGAAATGATCGTAAATCACATAAATATCTTTCACTAATCCCCAGCTCGGTGTATTTCCAAGCCTCCATTTGCTCACAGTGTCAAAAATGCCCTTGGCTACTGGGCTGGATGGAAAATGTGAAGGAGGGATCCTCAGTGCAGAAAGATAGCAATCCTAACTGCAGGTGAGGTATTGTCTGGAGAGTTGTGAAAACGTATGGCTGTGTGAACAACTTGCCAGGGACTCTGCAGGGCCTTGGAAGGGGCCTTCATAAGTGAGGGTGGAAGCGTAAGCTTCATTGGCTTTATAATAAATATTCCCCTGATGGCAGTACATTTGGATAAGTGGTTCGGATGGGATATGGGGCCAACGAATAAGAAAAGGCTGCTAGTTCTGAGGGGTGAAAGGAGGCCACAAGGGAATTTAGCCAAACCTTTCAGGAGGTATGTCTTGAAAGACAAATAGAAATTTTTCAGGTAGTCAAGGTGGGCTTCCAGTATGTTCAAAGGCCTGATGACAGGAGATAGCGCATATAGAGAGAGAATATTGAGTGTCTTCTACGAGGGGAGTGTCTGGTGAACCTGGGAAAAGGGACTGTTGGTCTCTTTTCTTCTGGCAATGATAGCTGCTGGGAAGTTCTTTTCTCTCCTGCTGGGAAAATTCTAACTCTTCTATCAAAGAGGCCTGCTCCTCTGTGCTTTATCTCCTCATCTTAACATCCACACCCCCATTTCACTACCTCCTGATATGCTTCATTCTGTCTCCCTGCTGACAGCTGTCCTCACTCTCCACTCCGAGGTTCTGCAGAGATCACGGTCCTGCCACCCTGACTTAGGCCCCTCAGAATAGATTTACCCCAGTCCAGTCGCTCCACACTCAGGACTAATACCACCATATCTCTCCTTAACACAGTCCTGCTTTGATGGCTCCCTCCTCACCCCTGTTCCCAGAGAAGGAAGCTCATTTCCCAGAATTCAGCTGCCCTCCAGCTTCTACACATCACCCTTATCTCTACAGCACCAGTGGACAGGAGCTGAGGCCAGGGGCTTACTTAGTGAAATGGGTCATGGCACTGCAGCCATGTGTTCTTGGTCTCCAGGTACTGCTGTACCTGACTAGTGCTGCTGTACCTGACTAGTGCTGCTCTCCTTTCCCTAACGGCAGGAGAGGTGGGCTTGGCTAAGAAGAAAAAGGGAAAAGTGGGTTTGGGAGGGGAGAATGGCAGGGAAGAAGAGCAAACATTTCCTCTCCCACTC